GCAGCTTCTACTCTGCAGGTAGGAAACAATATATGCTTACATATGTATAGTACATATATTTACATATCTATATTTTTTTATTTATTTAGTCACACATGCTCTCTATGTAAACCTATTAGACAAACAGTTTAAATTTATCTTTATCGGTTCAAGCTTTTATTCACATCTAGAGTTATACACTTTTTATATAAAAAATATTCATGCTTTTATGCAGAAATAAAATAATATTATAAGAAGTAGGTATGGAGTGACGGCAGAGTGGGTGAGCGACTGGGAGCATAGGGGAAGAGCCCGATCTTGTGGAGATAAAATGTAAAGGCAGTGGAGGATTCATACAGTGCTACTTTACAGACTGTGTGCTGTTACGACGGAGGCTTCACATAAATGATAACTCAAATCCTTTATTTGAGCAACAGCTGTATTGTAAAGCATGTAATGGGCATTCACAAGGGTTTAGATGTAGCTATAGCTACTTGGAAGATGTTTTTATTAGGAAAGTTATTAGGAAAGCAGTAGAAGTCTGTGGAGGAAAAAGCATGGAGGTAACAATCCGATACGGGAAAGATAAGAGGATGAAAGAGCGCTAGAGTTTTACTATACTTGCATAAGGAAACTGATGACCTGACAGCGAGGCAGCATCTGGAGGAATTTTATAAGCGCGGCGCACGGGTTAAACGGAGAGGCAAATATGCTCGGAAGAGGCGGATAGAAGGGGGAGATAAAAAAAAAAAAAAAAAAAAAGAGAAGATATATATATATATATATATATATATATATATATATATATATATATATATATATATAAAGGGAAAAGTAAAGGAATGGCCTTATATCATAAGGCCTTTTTGACTGTAACAGACACAAATAAATAAAAAAAAAAAAAAAAAAAAAGAGAAGAATATCAGGAGGATCATTGTTCGGTATTAAAAAAAAACTGAATCCAGACATGACGTGTATCTATCACGAATCATTAAACTTGGTCAACATTTTAATTATAAGGGAATATTAGATTTTTATTTTGTGTGTGTGTGTGGGGGGGGGTAATTTCTGTAGTCAAATACCCTATTGATGTTTCTGTTCTTTTTTGTTTGTTTGTTTTGTCACAATCTAATTGTCTAGTTACGTTTTTGTATCAGAAATCGCTTTGCTAATCCATCCTTACCACCGCTTTTAAAACTAATGAGTTTATGTTACACATTTAATAATTCTAAATGAACTTCAAAAATGTAGCTAATGTATAAACAACATCCAAAAAATTTTTCAAAAAATAAATACTGCATTATGAGAGTAATGTTATCGGTTTTGATATTTGGTTACTACGTTTTTACCTGCGGATGTAGACCTGTTTATTCTTTTTTTATAACCATACAGGCAACATTTAGGCAACATTTAGTAATATAATAGCAATTTGTCGCTTATGTAAGAAAAATGAAAGACACATTCGTTTTAACATAATCAACTTTTAAATTAAAATGTCGTCATTTTGCAAGTAGATGCCACAGAGAACATTAAAAAGCTATAGTTATAGTCTAGGAGAGACATTCTATACACAATTTAAGAACAACGTTTTGTTATATTTTGTTGAGTCCAATTTTGCAACGTTTTTACCTATATTGATGGTGCCGCTATTTTGTGCTTAGAAGCAAACCTCTAAACGTCAGTGGGGGTGGTCCTTCGTTATCTGACATCACTGTTCAGAAGCTACAGAGCTGCGTGGTGCTGAAACGCGATTCAAAAAAATATAACGGAGAAATTTAAAATTTTTCATGAATGAATATTATCTGGAAAAGATCCCAATTCAGTGCTCTGAGGGAAACCTTCATAAACACCGGAAACGCGTGTTTTTGTTTTATAATCTGAGGGGTCTTCAACACACAGGAGCGATGGCTGCCGTTATAACAAAGAGATCGCTGCAGAGGTACGTGGTTCTCTTTCTTCTTCTTGCCTCGGCTTCCAAAATATCAGCTTCAGCGACTCATTATTCAATATCCGAAGAGATGAAAGAAGGATCCGTTGTGGCTAATCTCGCTGCCGATCTTGGCCTGGACATTGCGACGCTTACAAAGAGAAAGATGCGAGTTGATATAATCGCTAACAAGAAATATTTGGATGTAAACAAGGAGACTGGCGAGATGTATGTTCTGGAAAAGATCGACAGAGAGCAAATTTGTACAACAAAGTCATCTTGTTACCTTAGATTGGAAGTTACATTGGACAATCCAGTGCGGATTTTTAACATCGAAGTGGAAATTTTGGACATGAATGACAACGCCCCACAATTTCGAAGGGAGGTGATACATTTAGATATATCAGAAGCGACACCAAAGGGGGAGAGATTTTCTCTCAGTAATGCGGTTGATCGTGATGTTGGTACTAATGCATTAAAAACATATCATCTGAGTGAAAGCGAATATTTCAGCATCCAGGTCCAGACAGGGAGAGATGGGTCTAAAGTTGCAGATTTGATATTGAAAAAAAACTTAGATCGTGAGAAACAGTCTGTTC